CTATACTATGACTTTTTTCAACATGCTATACTATGACTTTTTTCAACATGCTATACTATGACTTTTTTCAACATGCTATACTATGACTTTTTTCAACATGCTATACTATGACTTTTTTTACTTTTTCGACATACTATATATGATTTTTTTCGACATACTATATATGACTTTTTTCGACATGCTATACTGACTTTTATTAATATTTTGAAATGTTTATGATTTTTTTCATGGAATGCCATATTATGGCATTATAACATATTTTATAGCTGACTATACTATGAAAGTATTTCATGGTATATACTTTGACATTTTTATGACAAATCAATTCATTTATTTTATTTCATACTATACTATGACATCCTCATTTCATACTATATCACTAGTACTACAATACTATTAGAGCTGCAACAATCAGTCGACTAATCAAGTTGTAGATCGACCAAAAAATGATCGCTAACTGTTTTAATAACAGATGAATCGTATAAGTAATTTTTCATGCAAAAATGTTGTTTTCAGCCACTCAAACATAGACTTCCTGATTTTCAAGAAATTACATTGGACTTTGAAAAACTGGAATGGATATTTCTCAGTATTTACTGACATTTTTAGACCAAACGATTAATCGACAAAATAATATAATATAATATATAATCATTTACAATTACATCGTCAAAAATTACCAAAACAATTCACAATACACTATACAGGTCATGAACAGATAATTGTGGGTATGTTGAAATTATTATCATTTGGTTTAGCCAATTAGCTATGCCAACTCATGTTCTCCACCTCTTCCTCCCTCCTCATTGTGTTTTAAAGCATCGATCAGTCTGACCCAGAAAGCGTCCTGTTCCTGTGGTTTCTCAGGCCACAGCAGGTAGGTGTTCTTGTGTACGATCTTGCGTAATCGTGTGTAGGGAGACAGACAGTGTTCAGGTATCTCCTCCAGGAACACCAGAAGCAGGACATCACTGCCATCACATAAAAGCCTCAAACTGGCCAACTGAAACTCCACGGAGCACCACTCACTTTGGAGGAAGTGACGTGTCACCACACAGATGGTGTGGCGAGAACTGTGAATGGCGGCCTCGATGTTCGCCAGAACAGCAGCGCCAAGGCGGAAGTCTCTGTGGTGAAGGCACAGCCTGAGCCTCGGTTCACCACCAGCAGGCCTCTCTAGATTGGGCACCAGCTCTTCCATCACCCAGGCCTCATCCTTGGAGCAGTAGGAGATGAATGCATCATACTGGAATTTGGTCACTGCTGCCCTTCTATGTCCACGTAGTTTTGCCCTCAGGACGAGCAGCAGGTAGCGCAGAGTGGGGCCTTGTGTGTGCCAGGCCAGACACACACATGCAAACAACATGTCCATCACAGAGCAGGTGATGAAGAGAGTGAAGGAAACCTGATCATAGGAGCAGGCCTTATCGTCAAACTGCCACAAGAAGGCAGATCTCCTGTCATTGTCACAGTGCAGGCTGTACAAATAGGACACCTAGAGAGAATTTAAGAAAGTTTTGTACTTTTTGTTGGTTTACAACATACATTAATACTTATCACAGTGTCTCCAGCTATTACCTGTGTATGAGTGTTGTGGATGGCCCAGGTCTTGAACCAGGCATTATCACAGGTACAGGTAAGTGGGTTTTCTGTAATGTCCAAAGAACGCAATCTGGAAATACATAAATATACACCAAAGTTGCAGATTTTATTCAATTTTAATTCACACCAAATATCTATATGTCAGTACAGGTAAAGTTGACACAGAAGAGGTACATAGATTCTAAATTTGTTTCTATTTTAGTGATGCAATTAAGTCTATTTATTTGACAAGTAGAATTTGAAAATCAAAATGTGGTAGAATAGGTGGATTTTGTTACAATTGGACAGAGCCAGGCTAGCACTCTGCCCTGTTTAAAGACTACTGGGTGCAGCTTTAATCGTTACCGTACTTGCATAATAACGCTCAAAAGTCAGGCAAAATTTTTGAGCGAAGACTTGCATGGCGGGGTCCCTTGACCTCTCACCTCAAGATATGTGAATGAATATGGGTTCTTTGGGGTCCCAAGAGTCTTCCCTTTACAGACATGCTACTTAATACTAATCTAATGCAGTTTTGGTTTAAGCATACTGGGGTCCCTAAACAGTCTTGGAATTGCATTCATTCTAAATTTAAAATCGAGTCTTGTCAACTAATGAGTCCAATTGTATCCATGTGTGATGATGTTAGTCCCTATAGGGGCCATTTCACACAGTAATACTATTTTTTGAACAAACTAGTGACCTAGGGCATTCAGAGGATGAATGGTATATTGACAATCGGGGTTACTGAGCAGTTTCCAGAGCAGGCGTGCTCATCCCTCTAATTGGTGAAAAATGCAATTCTTGCAGAAATCTTCAGATACAAAATTTGTCTGGTTATATTACCATATAGTAGCCCAATCTAGCAACACTGACTGCTGAGCTCAAATTAATCTTCAGGTGTCCAGCTGACCCCCCCATAATAAGCTGTTTGCTCGACATTTCAGTAGCTCTTCTACCTTGGGAGAGCATCCAGCATAGTTTCGTCCACAGTGTGCAGGTGGTTTGACTGGACTTTGAGAATCTCGAGTGTATTATCTGGTGGCATCAGGTTAGCAGGCAGAGCATCAAGGTCTGCTCTGTAAAGAGTCAGCTTCTTCAGATTTTTCAGAGGGGAGAACACTGTGCTCAGGTTGGTCGTTTTCATAACAACACCAGCTATGTACAGGTATTTCAAATTGACCAGAGGAACAAAGGCATCGGGATGGAAGTCGAGCAGGATGCTGTGCCCGATGGCAACAGAGATAAGTCTACGTTGACCTTGGAAGAAATGCGGTCCGATGATACCAATGCCTTGACCCCCGGGACCCTGGTAGTTCATCTCCAGATACTCCAGGGTTGACATAGAAGAAAGACAGATACAAATATGAACAGATTTATACATAAAGTGCATCACTATTTTTAACAATTGACTCTCAAAAAACAAGTCATACCTCCAGAGAAGTAAGGTTTATGAAAGGAGCTTCATAGGATCTAAAATTGAGGCGGTTGTTGTACAGAACAAATTTCCTCAAATTGATCAGGCCAGACAGAATATATGGTGTCAGCATCTTGATCCGATTCCCACTTAAGTCCAGGTATCTAATGGACAGATGAATGTGTTAAATAAATGGACAATGAGAAAAATTGAGGAAAGATGAATGCACAAGCAGGGAATATTACATACGTAAGCCTCGTCAGGTCTCGGAAGGTGCCGACTTCGATGAAATCAATAATGTTTAAGCTGAGGTTGAGCTTCGTTAGCCTCCGTAGCTTACTGAAGGGCTTTTTGGTGATGTACTTCAGCAGGTTGAACTGCAGGTAGAGCTGCTCAAGTCGAGTTAGGGCACTGAATACCTTTGGTGTCAACTCAGTGATTTCATTTTTCACGAGAGACAGGCGAGTCAGACTCTTCAGAGGGACGAACCAGTTGGGGTCAATGTCACGGATTTTGCTCGTGTCAAAGCTTAAAAACGTGAGGTGGGTCAGGCCTTTGAATGTGTCCCTCTGAATGTCGAGCTTATTATGATTCAGCTGCAGCATTTTCAGGCTTCGGTAGCCATCAAATGTAGTACAAGATATCTGCTTCAACCCACAGTTGATGAGATAAAGTTTGCTCGTATTACCCCTACCCAAAAACAACTGAGCAACATTCCCAAGGTTTGCATCCTCAATAACAACCACGGGTGGAGTGTCACAGTCCAGCAGGCTGTAGTTAGCCCGAGGTAACCTGGATCCTTTTAAGTCAACCTGTATCAAATTAAATGAAGAGAATAGTTATTTAAAACTCATTAAAAAAGAAACTCTAATATTGCATGAGCAACAAGAGCACATACCTCAACTTTCTCAAGCTGGTCCATTCCTTTTAACATTCCACAGATAGTCAGTGGAGATTTCTCCACAAACAAAGAAAACGCAACCCAAGAGAGATTTTTCTTTGTCTCCGCCAAGAGTCCCACCAGCACTTCTGCTTTAACTCCCTGACAAAGCAGACTCTTCAGCCTAGGGTTGGAGGCAAAAACATCAGCCTGCAGCTCCAGTTTTGAGTTGTTGGACAGCCTGATGTACTCAAGGGCAGGGAAACAGGTCACATTAACCCTCAGGATGTTGTTTGCGAAAAGGTCGAGCCGCAAAAGAGTGGCGGAACCACCAGAGTCCCCACAGCTGAAGGCCTTGAGCTTGTTCAGGGACAGATTGACTTCTTGAATGGCTGGAAGGGACTTAAAGATACTCGGAGAGATTGTTGCAAGTACGTTGTGGATCAGAAGCAGTGTTTGTAGCCTGGTGAGTCCATCAAAGGCATTAGAGTGAATGTGTGAGATGTTGTTGCAGGTGAGGTTGAGACATTCCAGGACAACCAAGCCTCTGAATTCTCCTCCTTTTAGAGAGAACAGATGGTTCTGGCTCAGGTCCAGGCATTTAAGCCCAAGCATCTGACTGAATGATCCAGGGGGGATGACCCTGATCTTGTTCTTGGACAGGTTGATGGTTGTTATGTTATCTGGTATCATGCTAACAACATCAGAGAGGTTAGCGATGTTCTGGTTGAAGCACCATATAACATCTGTCATGGGGAAGTTCAGAGAGCACCCTTTAAAGCCAAAACCACAGCAGGCCGAGGTGTTGAGCAGAAGCAGGAAGAGGACAGCTCGCATCATCTTTACTTGACAGCTACTTTTGCACAGATCGCACAGAGGTCAGTCCAAAGCAATCTAAAAATATGTTAAGATAGAAAAGCAAATGAGGAAGTTAATGGGGAACATCATCTCACAAAGTAGCTGCACTGACATTTCCTTTAAGAGACAAAAGCATTTTAACCTACAATAGCTGAGTTTTTGGGCTTCTTGGTGGTAAACAAGTTGCGCTCTCTTACATGCTTCACCGTAGTCACCAGCTCATCGCTAAAAGAAAGGGCCTTTGGCCTAAAACAACGTTACAACAACAAGTGAAGTTGTGAAAAAGTGGGGGAAACTCGCTGTAAAGCTCGGTAAAGCTGAGGGGAGCACCAGATAATAGTGATAATTGTAAAACTGCAAAACATAATGCACTTTAATGAATACAGCATGAAGATAGTAGATGTGACCATTAGTGGAAGTACTCAATTACATTTCTTCCTGTTTTGATAAATTTGATAAAGTTTTTGAAATTAAAAATGTATTTCAATTTCAAGTGTAGTTCGATTTATCTACATTGCTACATTTTAAATAACATCCACTCTTCAAAAATACTGCTTCAATCATTACTTAACAATATGAGGAGCCATATCTGCCGTTAATGGAGAGTCCAACAACCAAAGTAATCAGGCCTTAAAGTGTAACAATTGTTATTTTGATCCAATAAAAGCCTTTTACCTTTCTGCTCTCCATAATTGCATTGGGCAAAAACAAATACATTTGACAATGTTAAAATGAATGTGACAACTTTAACAGAGTTAAGTGTAAAAGACTTATGTTCCTCTTTTACTTTTTGCACTATGTTCTTCTTCTTACATACAGTACTGTTACTTCTTCTACCCCAACTCCATTACCTTGTGCATTGAATCTAAATTAACTTTAATTTAGTCTAAATTTGAGTATTCTGACTGCATGTTCCAACCCCAACATTATTAAAATATTAGAACGTACCATTTAATGCTCCTCTTATGTGGCTTTTATTTCTGCAACTGCACTTCCTATTTTAACTGGCGGCTTCTTTGCATGTCTAAGTTAATCTAAAGCTTTTTGAGGAAGGACTTTGTCATCAGCTCTAAAGACTGAGACGATGTGGCTTTAAATCTTTTCTCCACATGAGGGAGCTATCTACTTGGATTTTAGTGAAGCTCCAACTGAGAGAGTACAATACTTTTCATGTCTAAAACATCTAAATTGGCATTTAGTAACCCTGAAAACAGTCAGATAAAATTCCAACATTTAAATTTTTTTCAGGAGACTTTAAAGAGTCCCCAGGTGACTGTAAAGGACTGTAAAACCCGAGATGAATACTGACAAATATTTAATCATTTTAAAGCCAATGAAATTTTTCTAGCTCTACTTTTGTGAGAAACTATTTTTTCCCCTTAAAATAAATTTAAATTATTTGCATATATTTGCTTGAATAACCGAATTGTTTATATAGAACATATCCAGTCCGGGCATCCACTGTGGGCTCTTCTGGTCAAGGCAGCTGACCTTTGCTGCTGTGTCTTGACTGTGACTGTGGTGAAGGGGCCAGCGGACGTGGGGCGGCCCAGCACTCAGTGCCCATCCTGGGGGCGACAGGTAGTCCTCCATATAGTCCAAGTGGAGCCCTGACCTTTGCAGGAGGGCTACTTGATCCACGAGGAGAGGCACAGGTGACCCCGCTGATGGCAATTTAGCTTAAGGAGCTGCTTCACCTTTAGCACATCCACCCGAACGTGTCAGGACAGATACAGGAGAGTCAGGTGGTGCTGCCACTATGAGTCTGTTTGTCTCCAATTTAGACTTTAAATGATAGTGATGATGACATTTTGCCTCCTGGCTTTTCATAATAGGACTGAACAGCAAAAAAAAAAAAATTTGTTTGTTCCCATTTATTGGTCATAAAACAGTCTCTTGTTTTTTACTCAGTTTATTCAGAGAAATACAGTGTGTATAATGCAATTTATTGTCAAGTGAAATGATGCCGTCCAACATGACATCATCCATATAAAACCATTTACCCTTCAAAACGTTTTACTTACATTTATTATAATTACAATATTTACAAATCCATTCAAAGGTTTGTCTCTCAACATGATTTCAATGGACTTAACTTAAATTATCCTTATGGAAGTTACTGTTAAGTGCTGATGTTACATTTTAAAATATTTTTTTAGGAGAATCTTGTAACAATCAAGGTACATAGTGCATTTGTAAGACTTTTTTTGTCATTCATTCCCTGTTTGTCTTATGAAAGGTGCAAAATGTTTGAGGTTGTTGCGAAGTTAAACTGAGGGTAAGAGTGACAGTCCTCCTCCGGCCAGTGCAAATCCATGGCATGCCAGTAATAACGAATGTATGGAGTCAGTTATATTACAGTCAGATGAGTAGAAGTTTAATTGTCGGTAGCTGTCAAAGGGCTCGGGGGACACTGGGCCTCTAGTCGCTGCATGGACGGGGGTCTCTTTGGGGTTTTGGCGGAGGAAGGGATGTCGGTGAAAACCACTGATCGGCCGTCTGCGCAAAGCAGGACGCTGGAGTCTGCCTCACACTTGGTGGTCCTGCTCGGCCATGAGGCCTCAGCAGAACTGGGCCTCATGCCGAGACCGCCGGTAGAGAGAACCTCTGTGTTCACCACCGATGCCTGACTCATCTTGATCAGCATGTCCAACGACTGCTTTCGACTCTCCAACGAAGCCTTCATTGCATTTCTCTCGCCCTCATTCTCTTCTTCCTCCTTTTTCTCCTCCAGTTCCTCGTCCTCCTCCTCTGTCTCTGTTGTGTTGTCTTTAAGGCTGCCGTCCTCTCTCATGCCGCGGTCACCAAGCAAATCTGTCGAGTCCCTTTTAAGCGACAGGTCGAGAGGCCCGTCGCACTGGCGAGACGTCCGCTCCAGCGCCTGGTGGATGTGGGAGAGCTCACTGCGGATTTTGCCCAGGTGTTCCCAGAGGTGGCGCTGGGCGGGAAGGTCTTCCTTCTCCAGGTGGGAGATTTTGCACTCAGCCTCCTGATACTCATGCAAGGCCTTGGAGAGGTCACTGAGGAGAGCAGCCACTGACTCTGAAGTTCCCTCCCCCATTGCTCGGGCAGCAGTCGGGTCATGGCTGTTGTTAGAAAGAGAGGAGGTTTCACTGTTGGGGCTGGTGAGAGGGTCGTTGTACCACAGTTCCGTGGGCCGGGTCTGAAGCTGAGCATCCTGTAAGCTGAGAATGGGAGAAAGTTATGGCTTATTGAGACTACAGTATAACAAAATGAAATACCGCTACAGTTGTTCCCTGTAGATAATTAGCCAATATTATGGACAAAATGACTCTTACTGCTACTTGTTTTAATACTCACAATGTTTTTTTGAACAACAAAAGAACACTTTAAGGAAATCTTTACCTTCCATGAAAGAGAAGTTTTTCCGCTGCCATATTAAGAGTTGATGTCTGAATATTCTTCAAAAGGTCCAAACTGAATCCTCCCATGGCCGGCTTCTTCTCCACAGGTGCCTCATGGTTCCCCAGTGGGGCACCTGTCCTCTTGAGGCCCCAGCTTGCTTTGCCTTCCTTGGCTATAGCCTGCATTTTATCCCCCACCCTGTAGCCCTGTTCGGGGGAGTCTCTCTGAGGTGACACCCAGCCAGCAGGGGAGACTGCGGCAGTCCCTGGCCGCAAAGCAGGCACTTTCCACAGATTGACTTTAGGCTGGAAGCCAGACAGAGGATTCACTTCTAGACTGTTTGTGGACGTCTTGAGCGCTTTGCTGGCATCACTCTGACTGGAGGCCGGTCCGAACGTATGCTCACACAGAAAGGGGTAGTACAGGCGAGGGGGGATAAGAGCTCTGTCTGTGTGGGTGCTGGAGGCTGGGTGCATCAGCTGAGCGGCCGACGCAAGGAAGGGAAACTGGGCAAGCTGCGCGTGGGTCTGGGCGGTGACACCCGCGGCAGCAGTGGGCATAGCTGAGTTCATGTAGGAGAAGAGGCTGGGGCTGATGGGGTAGCCCACCCCGAGCAATGACAGGTTGAGTCCAGTGGGATCCTGGTAATCCACCAGGTTTGGCGGAGGAGGGTAACAGGGGATTGTACTACTCACTCGGGGCTGAGCACCTTCAGCTTTGGCCTTAGAGTGGCTGGACGCCAGCAGCCGCCACTGCTCCGACAGCAGACTAGGAGCTGTCAGATATGTCTTAGATAGTTTGTAGTGTTTCAGCTGGGCCTCTACTTCTACCGAGCGTGCTCGTAAAAGCTGATCTTCCAGGGAGAGCATGTCAGCCATCAGAAGCTCTGAATCTGGCTGTTTCATTTTCCTGGTAGCGTCTCCTCTGTTGCGGTCACTGGAGCTCTCTTTTGTTAGCCCAGTGACATCTGGTCCCTCTCCTCGTCCTCCCTCTTCTTCATCTTTTGGTCCCTGGCTTTCCCTGTCTTCACCTTCCTCCTCAACGGCCCTTCGTTGCCTTTGTCCCTCCTCAGTCCGTGTCACCTGCTCGAGTTCATCTTTCCCGGTAGCTTGATGGCCATGTGCCTGCTGAAAGGGTCGAAGCTGTTCTGGGTGCAGGATGTTGCCCTTTTTATACGGCCAGTCTGACTCTATTAGCAGAGAAAGGGAGTTCTTGCACAGGCTGTACTTCATATGGTTGTACAGGTGGGACTTCTCCATGCAGGTAAAGGGGCACTGGAAGCATTTGTAGTTGTAGGGTTTGCCCCATGGCCGGGGAATATAGTGAGGCTTCTTAGGCTTGCGCTCCTTGTGTTTGCTGGCAGACGTCACTTTACAAGCATCGTCCTTGGACATGGTTGAGTCTTTATATTTATCAAGATTGTGTGGTTGTATTTAAATGATGATAATTTAAGATATATTTTTAGATTTGATATCTTTTGTGCCAAGGTTCATTTCATTGTTTTTTCCTCAGTTTGGTAAGGTAGATGAAAAAGAGCATTTATGGTACCTGTGAATACACAAGACAGTTCTGTATGAATAAAGGTGATACTTTTTGAAAACAGCAAAACATCAACAGATTAGAAACAACAAATTGACAGATTTCATATTTGATGTATATGTATACAAAACAGGAGACAGCTTGCAAGAAATCGAAATATCCGAGATAAAGTCATGTGTGCACTGAACAGTATATATCATTATGCACACGTGCATAAGGAGAGCACATTTGTTGTCTGCCTAAGCTAAGGGTTGCCACTAGCCTAACTGCAGGGAGGCCCACACTGCTCTGTTCTCATTGTACCTGCCACTACTCATTAGTTCCAGTGCAGCACCATAGGCGCTAGCAGGGTCCAGGGCTGGGGTGCAAACGGGGCCATCACGGGGGACTAAGCACCTGTGCAGGCGGTCCTCACAACACTAACAGGCCTGCTTGAGCTTAGGGCCTGGCCCCTCGAAGGCCGGCTACAGGCGCGGTGTGGACAGGCTGAGGGTTGCAGGTATTTAACGAAGAGGAGTTGGGGGTTTGAGGCCTGGTTCCTAATGAGAGCCTGGCGTCATGCCTATAGGGCGTCATTAGTGCCAGGAATGGGATCTGGGTCAGGACATGGTGCATAAGTTCAACTGCTCTCCTGAACTCTGTCTCTGTAATTTAGAGTTGTGTCACACTTTATTAATCAATAAGCAATAATAGCAATGTATTATTAGAGGCTACATTTTAATTAAAAGACATGTTTTCCCTTTATCTAATTTTAAAATGCTTTAATTATTGTAATGGATTATTAGTTTGTAACTTGATGTGTCTCATAACAGTTTAAAACCCCTCGCCATCAATAAATCGAATAGACATTTTAATTAATTTATCATTTTTAACATGATTGTATTTTGTCTTTCTTACATCAATAAATGTGCAGCAAACAGCTTGTATAGCTGCAATTCATATATTTAAAGAGAGCTATATTTGCACCTTTTAATTTACTCTGAAACTGTGTATTGTCAAAATATTTCTCTCTTTCTCTCGTCTTTTATATTTCTATACTTCTTCATCATCATCCATGAGCATAGGCTTAATTAATATCTCTCTTCTCTAATCCCCTAAACAAATTAAATACCCTGCAATAAATGTGTTTTTTTCATCTGTTAAATTACAGAAACTTAGTGATCTTTTTATACTTTAAGCCAGGCCGGTGGGTGAACCCTCCGGTGAAAGAAGATGTGAGGAGTGTGCTCCTCAACTTAAAACACTTTTAACACGCTTTGAGGCTTTCATTTTGTCTTTTTTCCCCCCCCCAGGTCATTCAAAGATGAAAGTCTGTGTGATGTTCAGTCCAAGTTGAAGTAAAGATAAACTTCACCAAACCAATCTTTTTCTGTCTTGCACAGACGGCTCATGACAAAGTTTTGATTTAAAGGCCAGTGAAGCAAACACAGGTGATGGATGGCCGGTTATACTGAGAGACAGCAGACAACCTCATCTATAAAAGCCACAGCACGAAGGGTGATGATGAAAGATGCAGTGAGTCTAACACAGCATGGCAGGCTGTTGCCAACTGCTCTCCCAATTGGACCCTAAGAATTGGCCCGTTTTGTGGCTGACCATTTGATTGGCTCACTTGTCCACCCCGGGGCTCTGACCTGAGCTTTGAGCTCATAATGGAACCTAACAGCTGCTGCTACGATCCAATCAATAAAAATCATTTCTACAGTAGTTTTTTCTTCCTCTTCTGGCCACTATCCGCTTGCCTCTCCGCTGACTGTGCACTTTGGCCCCCCGCCGCCCCATATCCAAACCCTGCGGTCTTGTTTTAAGCTTTTAGGGCTGATGATCAAACAAGCCTAACCGCTTGAACATCTATTGTTCCAATTAAAGAGGTTCACCACACTAAAAGCTTTGACAAGTTACATGCAACAGCAACCACACCACTGACAGACTATCGGACAGGCTGTCTGTACAGTATGTAAATGCACACGACTGTGTAGCTGAAATAGTTGTTAAGCATTTATAAATTCATACTTTACCTTGTAAGGAAGAATATTTGGCTTTCTGGAAAATAAGAACGAGGTTTTAAATGTATTGTCATTTTTATCTCCGTTTCATTTTCAATATAATAACAAATGTCCTTTTAACTCAATTTTCAACCAAACAACAAAAAAACATTGTTCCACAAACAAAATAAATGTATTGTATGCATGAATAGACACATTATTTTCTGCCGTTAAAATTTGACAGACAAACATCAGATGATGCGGCAGCTGATAAGTTTTTAGGGTTATGGAAATTGCATTATAATCACATTTAATAATGCTAAATTGCATGTGTAAAATTAGTGGCAATGCAGTGTATAATTTTAACTTCAAAAGTCTGTATATGGAAATAATAAATCTGTATTTTATAAAATGGTGTGACCACATTCAGCATTAGAAATGAACAATCAAATATTGAAAATAAAACTTTAAATGTATCCTTTTATCTTTCAAAATCTACAACATAAAATAAATACAACAAAAGCATTTTCTTAATGTGTGCAAAAACACAATGTACATATAAGTTCCTTTATAAAATATCCCTTAATCTTAACAAACTGACCTGCTTGCTTGCCACCATCTACTTGAAAGTAGAGAAGGAATGTATTCATCCGTACCTCGAGAGCGTCCCGGTGTGGCTGGCTGTCACTCCACTGCAGTGGCACTGAGAGGGCAGCGCGTCCCGCTCAAATAGGAGCGCAGGAGCGAGTGTGGATATATATATTGACTGGGAGCATTGCCCGCAGGCACTACAATACAGCCGCTCCCCCCTCTCCTCCCTCTCTCCCCCTCTGAATTGTCAAATGTGGTCTCTACCTTGCAGCCGGGATGCAATAAAACAACTTAGACTATATTGGCAAAGGTTAGGTCGGTGATGGTTTCTCGTTAAAACGGAGTGTAGATATTTTTCTGGGTTAATTCCTCTATTATGAGGATTTTTAAGGTAGATCATTGTTTGTTCTTGTTGTTCTTAAAACAAATGCTTTGCTCTGAATACTGAAACAAGAGTTAAATTAGTTACATGCTGTGTTGGTCTGATTATTAGCAGCATCAAGGTGAAGAATAGAGATCACTCATTGTTGTATAGCGTTCATTTTAAAGATTATACAGGAAACAGCAGAGATAAGAGGTAAGCTCTTAAATGTGAATCAATGTCAACACCTGACATCACATCATCATCTACTAAAACCAGTTTGTTAAAACAAAATCTTGAAAACCAATTTCTTATTAATAATTTCTCGTTTTCAATCAACTTGCACAGGAAATTATTCCATAATGAAAATTACATCAGTATCAGAAAATGCTCATAACAGGAGGATTTCCAGCAAAGATGGGAAAAACAAATACTCATAATTGTCACTGTTTGAATTAGTTCTCCAAATGTTGCAAGACAGAATGTACTCAGTATATGTTATTATTTTTTTTTTTTATTTTTTTTTTTTTAAATCTCTTGCTTCTGCTGCACTGAAATACACCGTTAAGCATATACAGACTATTCTCCCCAAATTTCGCCGTCCATTTTTACTCACTACATCCGTCTTTGTAATTTGCAATGCATTAAAATAATGGCACACCAGATAGAACTGTGAATTCCTCTGATCACACGTCGCCATGTTTGTGCTTATCTGTGTGTTTGAAAGGTAAAGGTGTGTGTATCTGCTCTTGTGCCTGCATGTCTCTTCTATGACTGTCTAACGCAGTAATTATGAGTGTGGTTTTTTTTTTCTATTTCAATTCCCGTGCATCACCAACAACATGCAGGCAGCTGGGAGTTGAGGGCTGTCAGGCATTTGGAGCAGCGTCCCTCAGAAGGAAATGATTAGCGCAGTGGTACAGGGCACTGGATGGGTTACTGACATCAGCTATAAGATCACATCTACAACCGATGACTGACATGTGTGTCTTCTTTTTTTTGTCCTCTACCACTTTACCTGCCCTTATTTTGCATCCCTTTGTCTCCCACTTACTCCTCATCTCCTACCCCCTTCCTCTTTCTTTTCTCTTACGCGTTTTCTAAATGAAACCCCAACCTCTCAATCTCTCCTTCTATCTTGGGTCAACTCCAGGTTCTTCATTTCTCTCCTCTGGCTGGGTGGGAAGCGCGCATGCAAGCCCCTTTGAGAAATGTCAGCGTCCGTGTGCTGGGAAAGTCGGGGGCCCTTCACGAGCCATCAGACCCGCTGTCACACCGAGGCGGCCAAATGGAGACTGACAGACCACTCCATAGAGCCTAACCATCTGTACCAAATGTGACAACAGGGGAAAGAGGATGTCTGGTAAATCAGGAGGAACGACAGGAGCGAAATATCACATGGAGGAGAAAGTAGAGAGCGAGAGAGAAGCAAGATCCTCCGCGCGGGCACATGGGAGATGGTGTCAGTTATTTTATTTCTCCAACTACAGAGACAATGTCAGTTTCTCCTGTTAAGTGTAAGCGTGTTAAGTGAGGACTTACTCCTTTAGCTTTTTTTACATTTTGTGGAAATATTGTTGGTTTTCGGAGGTGTTAAATGTTTTAGCCTGCATACATTACAGTCATTTAGAAGACGCTTTTATCCAAAGCGACTTAGGCGCAGCTACGGGAGCAATTTTGGGATTAAGTGTCTTGCTCAAGGACACATCAACATGCGACTAGCAGAGACCGCCGATCCTCTGATTGAAGGACGGCCCTGCAAGGATTTCTTCAAGCTCTTACAAATTAATTTAAAATTGTATAGTAAAGGTATAAAAGTTTCCATATACAAAGAAGTCCAGCTGAATAAAATGTAAGAGAACTGCAGGAAAATTCTTAATGATTGAGGGGTTTGAAGGGCATCATCTCCATTAATCAAGTGAATGATTGTGAATAAAAGTAGTAGTGTATTGCTTATAATAAAGACACCATCAAGGACATACTGGACTGTAAAGTACATCTCATTCGGTAGACACGGATAAGTCTGTAAAAAGTTAAGATTAGACCTATATATTACATCCAGACCTCAACACACACACACACACACAGTTAAGAGACATGCGTTCATTTTGACATGCTGTTGTTTTACGAATACTAATCTCACATTCAAACACAATACGTTTTTTGTCGAGCTTCACATTGATTTCCATAAGCAGGCCTCAATGTTAACATAAAAGGAGGCACTCGCAAGTGAGTGTATTGATCAGGCCACTGTTTATACAATTATAAGCACATCGAGCCCGGCACCACAAGGGGACTTAAGTTGGTCAGTTGAAGCTTTATGGATCTATAGGAAAATAGCAAAAACAACAAAATTATTGGTCGATACACGACGCGGCTGTTGCGCCAGGACCATGGACAGTGCTGTTTGTAGTTTGTAGGGGTGCTTATGTCACGGCGGCACTGTCCAGAGTACTGAAAGAAAGGGGGAGTGGTGGAGAATGATTGACAGACACCTTTTTGTTTGCCTGCTTGCTTTGCGTGGTTGTAAATAGGACTTCCGGCTCTATATTAGAAGGGAAACCACAGGGGAGTGAAGCGACTGTCAACAAGAGAGAGACTTAAATTTAGAACAATTTGCTCTCTCTCTTAGTCGGCCCTGTTTGTGTTTACAGTGTAGAGCACGGGATCACACACCACAAGCTCCTGACTCTATGGGGGGGCACTGCAGCTCTGTCGGCGAGTCAGGCCCCCTGGGGCCCAGACATGAACGATAATTTAAACAAAATTTTGTGACAATTGATTAATGTTGTCTGGCTTTTTGTTTTTACTTGTTTTTATACCCCAAGTGCAAAAAACAATTTCCAAAAAGTCCAAATGCAAACTTCAGTGTTTTATCTTCAGCAGGAAAAGTAGGAATGTGAAGAAGCTGAGAGTTGCAGTGTGAACACAGAAGTCTCCTGGCGGGTTAAGAGAGTTGAGGTCCTTATGGAGCGGCATCTGGGGAGGCTGACAGGAGCACTCTATTACCACTCAGAGAAAGGAACCTGAGGGCTGCAACAACACCGCTAGCAGGGAGATCCAGCTGTGCAGATGCCTCCGAACACACACAGACACACAAACAGACCCATGCAAATTAAGATACAATCTACGTGCACCCACCATCTGACAAAATGGACTGTATGAAGTAATAAGAAGATACAGAGATAGGAAGATGGATGACTAAACAGCGACCCCTAACCCAGGGTGAGTCTTTCCACTGCTTGAGTTTTAGGCCTGAGGTGGAATAGCTAACAGCTCCTCTCTTAGTCTGTGCTGCTGGGCACATTAACTAAACTCATATCGCTCTCAGCCACTATCAATTATTCACCCACCCCCTCCCTTCTCCCCCCTCCTTCCCCCCGTTTTCAAAGGAGAACAACTCCAAAAGCCATTCCAAGCCACGGTGACAAAACAACCTCACGCCCTTGGTGACTTCCTCTGGTTTTCTTCAGCACCGAGTGTGTTTTACGCCTTAAAATTATCATTATAATCAGAATATTATTCTTTAACTTGCTAAGAGCTGCCTTACATCATTTTTGCAATAATATATAAATACACTGCAGCTGC